GGGGTTGGGGACTGTGGTAGGGGGTGGGGATGGGGGCGCAGGGGTGCTTCCTGCTGAGAGGGCCACTTACCCGGTCGCCCACATCACCTCGGAGGCCCTGGGGGCCTGGAAGGCCGGGTTCTCCCATGCTGCCCTTCCGGCCCTGGGGAAGGAGGTCCTGGCTCGTCAGTGCCCATACCCTGTCGGGTCTCACCCGTCTGGGTATGCCGCCCCCTGTGCCAGGCCCTTGCCCCAACCTCACCCACCTGGAAGCCTCGGATGCCAGGGGCTCCAGGAGGGCCTTGTGGGCCGAGGGCCCCCTGGAAAACAAAGATGAGGTGTGAGCGGATGTCTCAGGTTTCGAGGAGCACCCAAGAGGTCCCAGGGAGCCTGGCTCGGCCTCCCCCCAAAGCTGGGTGGACACTGGAGCCAGTTCTAAGCCACCAGGCTGGATTGCTGGGGACAGAGGCAGGGCTACCTCCCAGGGCAGTTTAGGGGGTCTCAGAACGCAGGCATGCCCTGGACCCAATTTGTCAGGTCAGACTCGGGGCCAGACACCCATGCCCATGGCTCCTCCGACCAGGGTCCTGTGGCTTGTGCTGTCATCTCAGTCTACAGGGGCACAAGGCTAGGCTCAGCATAGAGGGCTTGAAAACAGGGCAGCTCCGGCCTGGCCCGGACCATCTCCCAGTGGGCGAGGGACAAGAAGGCAGGGCCCCACACCTCCCAGCATCCTCGGCTTTTGTGAGCCTGGCTCATCAAGGCAACCAAATGCCACCCCGGCCTGCTCAGAAACTGGGCCCACGTGCCAACGGCTCAGTGCTAACCCCCGACCCAGGGCCACATCCCTGCACTCACCGCTGAGCCCCGGTGGCCAGCCTCACCGCGCTCCCCAGGCATGCCAGCATCTCCCTACAGGGAAGGGAAGGAGGGTGTGAGGGCAGGGCCTGCACACATGCGAGATGGGGTGGGGTCTGGGGCGCCGCAGATACTCACAGGGACGCCTGGCTCTCCCGAGGGGCCAGCCTCACCCAGCTCCCCAGCTCTGCCCTGCAGGGAAAGGAAAGCTGTGAGTGCCTGCCTACACCTGCATCTGGGCCGGGTCACTGGCCTCCCGGCCTCTCGCCTCCCGTCCCCTGGCCTCCCTTTGCAGAGAGAAAGCGGCTGCAGCCACATACCCTTTCTCCCTTCTCGCCTTTGGACCCTGCTCGTCCGGGGAGGCCCTGCCAGGAGAGAGCTTGAGGTCAGGGCTGCTCGTCAAGGCAATGTGCACACAGGCAGGGTGCAGGGGCCAGAGTGAGCGCACCCAAAGGGCAGGGCTGACTTCTCCCAGCCTTGTCGACCTTACGTGCGGCTTTGAGAGCTTCCCTGGCCTTGGATGCAGGAGCCCCTACTCCAGGCCCCCGGGGGTGATGACCGCACGGCATCCAGGGATGGCCATACACGTGTTCACACATGTCCCACGTACATATGAATAAGCACACATATGCACACACACAGGCAACCCACCGGGCACAGCACCCGCTGGGAGCCAGGGGTTGTGCCAGACCCTGATGGACACAGGCCCCAGAACCCCTCACAGGGAGCCAGCCCTACAGCGACCAACCCACCCAGCCTGACAGGGACCCCTGGGCAGGGAGCAGCTGTGGCGCCCCAGGCTGGCCCCACCCACCAGGCACTCACCGGCAGCCCGTTGGGGCCCTTCTCTCCCGGAGCACCGCTGCGACCAGCCTCTCCCTGTGAGGACAGAGGTTGGGGTGGGGAAGGGGAGGCTGAGGCCTCAGAAGGCTGAACTCCCCTCCAGCTCCTCCCTCTCATGACACCCTGAGCCCCATGCCAACCTTCTGGCCATCGAGTCCTGGCACACCATTCTGGCCGTCCTTGCCCGGCATGCCCTGGGGACAAGAGATGCGTAAGGCCCGTTGGGCAGGCGGCCCCCGCTCCCTTCCTCTACAGTCCCGCCCTGGGGGCAGCCTCCTTCCCCATCAACCTAACACTGTGTCTGCCCCCAAACCCTGGCAGTTGTCTGGTTTCATGATCGAGGTGGCCTGTGGCAACCAGTGCTGCCTCGGTGACCACACAGGCGAGGGGTGCGGTGGGTGGCAGAGGTGGTGCTGAAGCCGTGCGGACGCCTGAGGCCTTGTCTACGAGGCACATCATGGTGCCCTAAGGGAAGTTCGGTTCTGGCCCATTTTACGGGGGGAAAACTGAGGCTTGGGAGCCAGGACTCAGGCCAGGCCTGCCTCGTCCACTCTGGACTGGTTTTGGAATCAGGACACAGCCAAGTGCTGGGTGTCCCAAGAGAGGGCACCGCTCCAGGGGCAGAGGCAACACGAGGGGCTGGACGGGACCTCCAGTCTGGGCTGAGGGTGGGCACACAGCAGGAAGGAAGGTGCCTGCACGGGTGCCTGGGACCCCAGGAGTGGCCACCTCTGCCCAGCGGTGCTGCCCACCCACCCTTACTTCCCGTGTCCTCCATGCAGGCAAACCCAGCCTGAGGCCCCTACTCCTGCACACTCGTGAGGCTCTGGGCAAAAGAGAAATGTGCAGGGCAGTGGGGCTGTTAAACCGTTAACCCGGATTTCAAGATGGCCACAGCAGAGGGCACTGAGCTCCAGCTCTTCTGAATGCGGCCTCTGCCTGTACGTAGCCAGCACCCAGGGGAGGAGCATTCTCGGGGGAGTAGCCACGTGCACTCACCGGCTCCCCACTTGGCCCGGCCACTCCGGGGATTCCCTTGGGACCAGGTCTGCCCTAGAGGACACACAAGTGACAGAGGCAGTGGCAGTCTCTTCCCAGATGGCCTCACGCATTCCCCGGCCAGCTGCTCGGGGACACCAACGAGCTGTGGAGGGTAGTGGCAGGGGCCACCCCCGACCACCACCCTGGGGCCTGTGGGTGCTCGGAGAAAACTGTGTTTGGATCCATGGGTGCTGCAGCAGGGCACGGTGGCTCCCTGCTGCTCCGGCTGTGAGGGCTCGGTCGAGGGAGGTGTGGAGGCTGACCAGTCTGGGGACGGTCACTTCAGTTCCACTCCTGGAACGCTCGACTGTCTCTGGACTTTCCTTATGTTCACTTGCTCAACCCAAGAGCCGTTTCTCTGGGGCAGGATCCAAGCCCTGGAACCTGATCCCTCTACCCGGCCCGCTGGCCGCTCTGCAGGGGCCACAGAGCTCCCATGTGGCTCTGGGAGAACAGCTGGGGCCAGGGAGAGAGCTGGGGCCCTCCAGGGCCAGGCTCACCCCCACGCACCCCCAGGCCCACCCAGGGTGGCCCCTCACAGTCTCACTCCCAAGTGTGTCCCCCTCCCCAGCACGAGTCAGGAGGGAAATTGGGTTCTTCCACATAAGGACCCAAGGAACCAAATTCCCTCTCACTTACGAGGTCACCCTTGGGGCCACGGAACCCTTCTGGGCCCCTCTCGCCTCGGTCACCCTGGAAATAATAAGGTGGGACAGGGACAGAGTTACCACCACAGAGATGGTCAGAGAGTGGGATGGGGGCCCCTCCAGGCCCGGGCAGGGGACAGCCCTCTAGGAGTGGTCAGAGATGGCCGGAGGTGCCACAGGGACAATGGTGACCTCTCGTTCCACATCCAGAACCAGAAAGGAGGCGAATGTCCCACGAAGAATGGATTCCATTGGTAAGCACCCCCTACTCATGCCACAAGCCCTCCCAGGGTGTCCAGGGAACAGCTCAGCCACAGAAGGGGGGCCCCAGTGGGGCTGGGGGCATCTGAGAGGAGCAGAGGGAAAGGGGAGAGAGGCCACGAGGCATGGGACCCACCGTCCACTGACACACGTACCGCTTTCCCAGGCGCTCCTGGGATCCCAGGCGGCCCTCGGAACCCGATGGGACCCTGCAGAGAGAGGGGATCTGGGGTCCTCTTGTCTCAGGCCTGGCTGGCATCCCCCCAGTGCTCCCTCAGGGGAGGCCCAGACACAAGCAGCCCTTCCTCTAGGGCTCCCCAGCAAGTTCCCCCAAGATGCCACCTGGTCGTCTCCAAATCCCTCCTGCCCCTTGCTCTGGCCTAAGCCACAACAGCCCTCACAGCAGCCTGGGACCGCGTGCGGGTGTCAGCGAGCAGTTCATCAGCCCTCACCCAGGCACACGAGAGAACAGCCCCCACAGCAGCCTGGGACCGCGTGTGGGTGTCCGTGATTGCTGACTGTCAGCCCAGGCACACGCGAGAACAGGGGCCCAGAGCACATGCGAGAACTGGGGCCCAGAGCAAGGTCTGCACCACAGCGGCGACGGCCAGAGCCAGGGTGCCGGCTGCTTCACAGCGTCACTCACGGGGCCCATCTGAAGTCTGGAGGTATGGACAACCAGGCCCCCAGCCACCTGGCCGGCCCCCACTAGGGGCTGCAGGACTTACCCTGTCCCCAGGGGGCCCGAGTGGCCCTGGCAGTCCTTGTAATCCCCGCGGGCCCTGCGGGAGAGAGGCACAGATGCAGAGACTAGGGCTTCACCTCCACCCCGGGGAGCACGCAGGGCCTCGGCCCTCAGGGTACCCCTGGGAGCCCTGGTGTCTTCCATGAGCCCTCAGCCTCAGCTCAGGTCCCCCAGAGGTAGGGGGCACCAGCCTTGAGATCAGCAGCCTTGGCAGAGGTGAGACCCCCAGCCAGGTCGCGCTCCTGTGCCTGGGTATTGGCCAAACACTCCCCAGCCCGAGACGGCCCCCTCGGGGGTAGACACGTGCAGGGCTGAGTTCCCATCCCACCATCCTTACCCCTTCCTAGCCTCACCTGCAGCCCCACGCTGCCCGGGAGGCCGGCGGGCCCAGGGGGGCCAGGGTCGCCCTGAAACAGAGGGGACAGGGTGGTCAGTGGCCCAGTCTGGCTCTCCTTGCACCGTTCGGTGCCTCCAGTCACCCTACTCAAGTCCAAGCAGCTGGGGGCGTTGCCCCCTTCACAGCTGGGCCTTGGAGGCTCTGCGAAGGGGTCACTTGCACACAGCTCCAGAGCAGTCCTGCGAGTCTCGGTGGCCTCGCCCTGTGGGGGCTGGGTCCGTGGCCACTGTTCCCATAAGACCCTTCAGCCCTGTCCAGGCCCCTCCTCATGGCCAAGCAGGGACCCCTCTGATGTGCACCTGGGTGTCCTCATCTGATCACTCCAGCCATGCTAAAGGCCACCCCAGACCCGGTCCCCCGGCCTGCAGGTGACGATGGACACCCTCCATGGGCAGCAGCCACAGGTGAGGGGAGGCTACGGGCTAAAGCCAGTCATCCTCACAGACGCCCCTTGCCCGGCCACAGACACAAACCAGGGACAGCTTCCACAGCCAGGCCAGCCAGGCCCCCAGAAGATGGGCACAGCAGGTGCCAGCGCAGGCACGCCCATGAGACAGCCCCTCCCTCCCGCCCGAGCCCAGCCCCCAGGCCCCAGCCCCTCCCCAGCTGCTGTGCGGCAGCTTTACCTTCTCGCCGTCCTTGCCGACTTCCCCCTGCTCGCCTTTGTAGCCAGTGGGTCCCTGAAAGCAAACATGGGGTCACTGTCCCCCCCAACCCCCCGACACCCCCTCCCTGGCAACACTGAAGTGAGGCCTGCAGGGTCAGTCAGCCCAGGGCCCGCCACACGGCAGTACAGGACTGCGGGCCTGGGCCCTCACGGGGAAACCGAGGCCTGAGAGGCGCTGGGACCCACCTGAGGGCGCTCTGCGGTCAGAAGCGGGCCAGGGCTGGGGGGCAGTGGGGGCTTGAGGCTAGCTCTCCCCCACAGTTTCTCTGACGCCCATTACCAGTCCCAGCCTGGCCACATCAGCTTGTCACTGGGGTGCTGAAGGCGGGACAGGGAGGCTGGACTGGCTTTCTTCCTGGGGCAACCCTGGAACCAGGGCCCAGCTTTCTGGACCTGTCACCCCCACAGCCCCATGGGAGCCCGGCCACCTCCTGCCCAGCATAGGGCAGTGCTTGGGTCCCAGTGACTCACCTTGAACCCCGGCATTCCAGGGGGCCCTGGGGGACCTGGTGGGCAGATACTTGGGCACTGTCGGAAAACAGAGCAGTCAGACCCCTCCCAGCCAAACAGAGCAGGACCCTCTGACACAGAGGTCAGCACCCACAGGACCCCAGGAGGCCACTCCGCACGGGTGATGGGACCCCAGGAGGCCACTCCGCCCCGGTGACGGGACCCCAGGAGGCCACTCCGCACGGGTGACGGGACCGCAGGAGGCCACTCCGCCCTGGTGACGGCACCAGGACAGGACACAGACAGGGTCTCCTTCAGCACTGGCCAAGCGCAGCGGAGGCTGCATAGAGCAGCCGGCTCGGATTTCTCAGCCCCACGGCAGACACTGGGTTTCAAAGCAGCCATTCAGCACAGCACAGCAGTTGGCTCTGCAGGGGGCCTTGCAGCAGCCTTAGGTCGGGGCCGTCCTCAGCACAGGAACGTGCTTAGCACGGGGCTTTTAGGAGGGACACCGTGAGCCCAGGCAACAGGCCTGATGCTCAGGAAACCCAGGGCTGCTTCCAGATTATCCCACAGCTGCAGTGGGCAGGCTGGGCCAAGGGTTCAGACCCGTATCTTCAGCCCCCGCCCCACTCATCCCATGGTCGGGGCCCAATCACACACCACATTCTGGAAGGTTCCCTAAAGCCTCCCTTCTGAGACACAGGCTGGCCAGGCACCCGGGCCCCGGGGTGGGGTGATGAGAGAGGCCGGTAGACAGCCACCGGTGGCCAGGTCGGAGTGGGCCGAGCTTTTCCCTTCAAAACTATCAAACCTCTCTATGGAAACGAGTCACTGACTGCCACCGCAGACGGCCAAACAGAGGAGAGATGGATCCGTGGCCTCCCAAGCCCATTTTCTTTCCTCTTCTTTTTTTTTTTTTTTTTGAGACAGGGGTTAGCTTGGTTGCTCAGGCTGGAGTGCAGTGGCTTGATCACAGCACACTGCAACCTCTGCCTCCTGGGCTCAAGTGATCCTCCCACCACAGCCACCTAAATAGCTAGGACAACAGGCATGCCACCACGTCTGGCTCCTTTAAAAATTTTTTGTAGACACAAAGATCTCACTATGTTGCCCAGGCTGGTCTCAAACTCCTGAGCTGAAGTAATCCTCCTGTCTTAGCCTCCCAAAGTGCTGGGATTACAGGCGTAAGCCACTGTGCCTAGCCTGAGCCTGTTTTCTTTTCGGGTGATTGACATGGCTCAAAGACCAAGATAAAGGTGGGCCCCAGAGTCCAGTCCCGAATGCAGCGAGGGACTATTCTGTCGCCATCTGTGGCCAAAGGTGCCCTCTGCGGATGATGCAGGGGAGCTTGATGGCTCCGTGACATGATTGTGATTCATTACATTTGCACAGCTCCACGCCCTGGTGGCTTCGTGAGGGACAGTGCAGGTCTAGGCGGTGGCGAGGAGGGCAGGAAGCGGGAGGGGGAGGTCCCAGCCAGGCTCTCTGCCAGGTTGTGTCTGAGCTGTCTGCACTGAGCTCCCGTCCCCAGGGAGTGCTCGGGCCCTGCCTTCTTGCCAGGATGGACGAGTCCCTCTCCAGGCCAGATCCCGCCCCCCAAGGTAGGCACCTCCCAGCGCCCTTCACATATGGCTGCAAGTGCCTACCTGAAGGTCAGTGGCGCCTTCAGGGAGGACTCCTGGGTGTCCCTAAGACACAAAGAGACAGCTGACATTCTCCTGCCCTCCCCGTCCACCTGCACCCACCCAACCCACCCACCCACTCTCTGACAGACCAGGACGTTCCCCATCCACCAGGGGACTTGGAGACCCTTCATCCCGTCCCCCAAGTGGCCAGTGCTGGGTGCTGCTGGCCCACCCACAGGGCATGTGACAATGACAGAATCCACCTGTCCTTGGGGCAGGGTGGCCTTGGGGACCTGAGCCCTGATCATCCCCAAGTTGGCTGGCCTAGCCACAGCCACTGCCCCCACCACTGACTGTTCCTAGGAGTGGCCAAGTTAGGGTTAGGAGATCTCGGAGGGCATGGAGCCTGGGGAGGGGGAAGGGGGAAGGGGGAAGGGGGAAGGGGGAGGGCCCAACCGGGTGCCCTAGTCCATGCCCAGCACTTCTTAGAGCCTCTGCCCAGTACTTACAGGGGGTCCGGGAGGTCCCGGGGGGCCAGGGAGGCCGGGGAGTCCAGACGGTCCCTGGGGAGGGGGTATGTCTTAGAGTGGTAAGACTTAGAGTGGGACCAGCCCCCACCTAAGTGAGGTGCCCGGCTTCTCCCAGGGAGGTGGACACGCCCAGCTCCCGCCAGCCCCCACCCCCACGGCCTCTGCTGGTGTCTGCGTCCTGGGGTCGGGTCTGGATCATTAGCCAGGGCTTCTACCAACACCTACCAAGGTAGGGGTGGGGGAGAAAGGGAAAGGGGAGAGGGGAAGAGGGTCCCTGGCTGTTGAGTCTGGGGGTGGAGGCCACAGGTGAGCACACTCTAAGAGGGTCTGGGACAGCCACTCACCGGGGGGCCGCGGAGGCCGATCCCACCTGGGGGGCCGCTCACTCCTGCCTCTCCCTGGAGGGAGGTAAAGGGAGGTGAGGAGGTTCACCCGGGCGCCCCGAGGATCCCCACCCAGGGTCGGTATGCCGCCTCCAAAGGGAGGGGGGCTCCAGGTATGGGGTGGTCAGATCACTGCCCCTGAGAAGCCCCACACCCAGGCACGGTTTGGGACATCCCAGCCTGGCAGGCTCTGGGTACTTGCACGCTTGCTCAGGGCCCCAAGGGTTGTCAGTACTCACGGGGGGTCCAGGGAGGCCTTTGCCCTGCAAAGCCAAACATGGGGTCAGAGCCTGCTGGGCACAAGATGGGCTGCGCCTCACCCCTCCCTAAGATGGTTCAGGTGGGTCCCGGGGAAAGGGCGGTTCCAAGCATGGGCATCTGGTCCCAGCCCAGAGAGGGCTCCAAGACCCTGACCAGGCACCAGCCTCCGGAGAGGCTGCAGAGGGGTGGCAGAGGAGAGGGCCAGGGATGGCCCCTGCGATTCCTGGATGCCATTTAGACCAGACTCTCCAGTTCCCCAAACTCCATGGAGAGGAGAGGACCACACTCCATACTCACCCCCAGCCCGGGCGGCCCCGGGGGTCCCAGACTTCCCTGTGGGAGGAAAGCAGTCGTCTAGGTTGGGCTGGGCCTCTATTTGCAAACCCAATCCCCTCCCGCTGAAGTGAGACCCACAACTCCAGCTCCCAGGGCAACAGGGTCCAAGTCCCCACTCCACAGAGGGGCAGGGCCTCTGAGCCCTCGACCTGGAGGGTCTTTGCCGTCCTGGGGAGCTGCCGGAGACAGATGGCACCAGAGTCCCAGTGCCTGCTACAGAAAGGCGAAGGCGCGACCTGGGGCAGGTCTGAGATGCACAGAAGTGACCCCAGGTGCCTGTCTCCACCAGGAAGCCCTCCCGATAACCCACCCACGGAGCCTGCTGAATCCTCAGCCCCCGCCCACGTCAGCAAGTCCCCAGAGCCTTGAGCAGCCAGGTCCCATCTGCTCTCCAAACTCTGGGCCCTGTCTGGGCCCTGCTGCTTGAAATGTCTCATTCCCTGGACGGCTCACACGGGCCCTGCTCTGAGGCTGGAGGGCCCTCCTGAAAGCCTGGAGACGAGCTCACCCCCC